CGCACCCCCTCCCACCCGCGCACGCCCGCTGCCCCTCGTGCTTCCTGCCGGCTGAGCGGAACCCGCCTTGCCGTTACCCGGGCAGGGCCCCAGCGTGGCCGTGCCCGGCTTCCACCTGTCCCTTCTCCCTCCAGCACTTCCCGCCGCCTCCGCTTCCTGCCACCTGCCGCACCCAGCCTGCTGGCCCGACCGACTGGTCTCCCTGCCTGCTCCCTGCCCTCCCTGCCCTCCGGCACCTTCCGGCCCCGAGGGAGCCGGCCTGCGGCCTGCCCGTGGCTGCCTTTCTGTGCTGCGGCGCCTCTGAGACGCCCGTGGGCACAAGCCCTGACTCGTCCCGCCGCCCCGTCTGCCCCCGGCCCGTGTGGCACCTGCCGCTGCCCCTCCCGCCAGGCACCTGCTCCCCAGAGCCCCTGCCGCCCCGTGCGCCCAGTCTGCCCGCCTCCCGCTGCCACGCAGGGGGAGACCTCGGGTTCGGGGCCCTCAGGCCCGTCTGTCACCCCCCACGCGAGCCTGGGGCAAGAGGCTTGTTTGTGTTTGCTGCTGTTTCCCTCCTGGGGCGGGCACGGCGCTAGTGGGGGGGCTCGGCTGGGCGCTGCTGCCGTCAGTCGCGGGAAGTGGGCGCGGATGAGCGCTGGGGAGGAGCCCGCCCGGCCTGTGACGGCAGCTGAAGCCCCGCAGCTGCGCACCCCAGGGCGGGCGATGAGCGAGACCACGGAGGATGCGGATTTGGGGTGGAGGGGAGCTGGGGGGGGGCTGGCTTAGGGCGAGCCTCACGCCACAGGGCCATCTGGCGCGGGAGTCCTGGGGGGCAGCTGGAGAGGGGTGCTCGAGCCCCTCTCTAGGGCGCTGCCGCCGGGAGGGCGCAGTGGGCCCTGGGCCCGGGGGTGGGGGCGCGGCCTGGACCCCGTGTGGCCTAATGAGGGAAATCCCCTGCTGTGGCTGGAGAGTGGCACCGGAGGCCAGTGGGGCGGACAGTGGGGCGGGAGGTCAAAGCGCCTCCGGGGCCGCCGGGGCCGTGGGCTGGGGGCGAGGTGCGAGGTGGG